GACACACAGACATACGGACATGATTGCAAAATTATGTTTTTCCGTATCAGTGAGATGTAAAACGTCGAGATTTGCAAAAATCTCGATTTTTTTTTTTTTGCACGATTACAAGACTTTCTCTATACTTCGTATATACGAGAAAGTAAAAATTAAAAGTCAAGGGAATTAATCCACAATTTATATATTTTCCATAATAATGAATTGCTTCCCTTGCCTGCGTCTGACGGCGTATTCTCGTTTAGTTGGTCTACAAGGTAACTAGATTCGCCGTAAAAAAATTCTTTTGCAAATGTAGTCAAAGTTAAAATAAATTTTGAAAACCAAACAGATTTCGTTTATAAGTTTTGAATTCATCCAAAGCTGGGGTCTCCAAACTAGGGCCCACGAGGAACAATTTCGCCATTCCTACAAATACAAGTGTTCAAGTGTAGTGTAAAAATGTGTTATTAAATAATAATAAAATAATATAAAATAAATAATAAAAAACAACATCCGTGTTTTTTTATTTGGACCTCGAGTGTGTTGTCGGCCCCCGAATTGCTATTTCATAGTTAATGCGGAGAAATGTTTGGAGACCCCTGATCTAAAGGATCGGACCCAACGAACGGGGTATCATGATTGGGGGTATCATATGATTGGGGGTATCATATGATTTGGGGTATCATGATTGGGGTATCATATGATTTAAGGGTATCATGATTGGGGTATCATATGATTGGGGGTATCATATGATTTAAGGGTATCATGATTGGGGTATCATATGATTGGGGGTATCATATGATTGGGGTATCATATGATTGGGGGTATCATATGATTGGGGGTATCATATGATTGGGGGTATCATGATTGGGGTATCATATGATTGGGAGTATCATATGATGGTATGTCAAAATCATATGGTAACCGATATCAATGTCAACATCGTATTATGTGGACTAGTAGAGGTTAACATCAGATGGTAACAGACGTCAACATCAAAAGTTTTTTTTTTTTTTTCTTTTTCCGTTTTTTTTTTTTTTTTTTTTTTTTTGTGTGGTTTAATATTGCTCCTCTCTTGTTGCTTCCCTAATCGAGCAAGGGTAGGCAGCAAAAGCAGGTTTACATGAACATATACATACATGAAATTGTATACATATTTAAACAATTGAATCCGTGCTTGTCGTATTTTCCGTGTCATTCTGTCTTCTTGTTTCACTTGTTTTTACTTCCGGTTTCTTGGTTTCCTTTAAAATAACATAGAGGACATGACAAAACATAATGGCTTCTCGGAGTTCTTTGGCCTTGCTTCTTGCGTGTATTACAGTTTTTGAGTACGTGGATGAATCAGCAAGGGTGTACACATTTTTAAAAATCACAAGTAACACCAATTTATTTAAAATTGATAAATTAAAATGTATTTTTAAACAAAAAAATTAATGTGTCTGGTGAAATAACTCAATACACTTAATATTGTTCCTCTCTTGCTGCTTCCACAATCGAGCAAGGGTAGGCAGCAAGAGCAGGTTTTACTTCTGGAGTTCTTTAGCCTTGCTTCTGTGTATTACAGGGGTCGGCAACCTGCGGTCACGAGCCGCATGCGGCTCTTTTGATGTCAGGATGCGGCTCGCCAGTTCCATAATAATTATATCATTTTATTTTCATAACACACAAAAATATTATACTGTAAAAAAAACAATTTTAAACAAGATAAAAACACTAAGAATAGGTGGAGTAGATTGTATGCTGCTTGGGCACAAGGCCCAGCCCCACAACTGTGCTGTGGTCAGCCCCGTGGCGGTGGTTCCATGCCTTCCACTACCGAAGTGCGAATTTTTGTTTATTTTTTTCGAACCTTTTAATAGTAATTTTTATTTTATTCAGACTGCATTTTTGTATGTGTCCGTGTGCATTGATTTAACTGGATCGACATAGCTTTTCAGTTATTAGCTTCTAAATTGGGTAGGGATAGTCCTATAGTGGGGTCGGCGTGGTCGAGTCGGTAAAGCTCATGGTTGCTAAACCGAAAAGTCTCGAGTTCGAACCCTCGGGCAGATGAGGCTCGTTAGCTGGGGACAGCCACACTTCTAGGAGAGACAACTCCAAAATTAAACAACTGCTGCCTTGTAGTTTGTTCTTGGTTGGACAAAGGCTATGGAAGCAAATCCAAAAAGAAAAGCAGGCTGAAATCGGAGTCAATGGCCGCAATGGCGCATAACCAGTTGACACGTAACGCTTAATTGTGTTGGAGGCGTGGTCGAGTCGGCAAAAAGTTCATGGTTGATAAATTCGAACAAAGTCTCGAGTTCAAACCCACTGGCAGATAAATCTCGATCCCTTTCAACACTAATAATTAAGAACGAAGAAGAAGAAAAAGAAGTCCTATAGTTATATAATTTGTTTACATTATTCTAGCAGAGCTAGCTAAAATACTTTATTATGTTTTGTGCGAAACATGTGTATGTTTTTATATGATTAAATATTATTTCATACTTAAACCAATTTATTTAAAATCTATTTATCTAATCCTAATAAAATGAAAAAAATATTTCTAAGTGGCTCTTTAAAGACTTGGAGATTTTAAAAATTGTAACTTCTGGCTCTCCCACCTCGAAAGGTTACCGACCCCTGATGTATTACAATTTTAAAGTACGTGGATGAATCAACAAGGGTGTATAAACTTTATAAACATCACAAAATAACACAAAATTATTTAAAAATTGATAAAATAAAATTTATTTTTAAACATAAAAAGTAATGTGTCTGGTGAAATGATTCAATACACGTGAAAAAAAGTTACAGACTTTGAATAATTTTATTTTATGCTCAGTCGACTTTTCTATTAATTTGTTTTTTTTCTATTCTATTATACCACATACTAATATACAATGTAAAAAAGTATATATCATTTCATAAGCATACACAGTAAAAGCATAAATGAAGAGTTATCCATCTTTAATATCCACAGTAAACTCCCATATTATACGTGATTTTTATTAGTGATGATTATATGGAAATTTTAAAGCTGTGAAAATAGAACACAAATTTGGTCTTCTCTCCCCTTAAATAAAACGTGAATTCGATACGTATTTATTTTCTTTCACATACTGATAATTGACATACACATATAGCAATATTAAAGCATTCACTATAAAATACACCTCAAGCATACTCGCACACATGTCTATAGATTTTCTTTAATGCCAATTTGTATAAGCAAACAATTGTAAACAAACTATTTACACCAGTCGCCTCCCCTTGATCGTAGCACCTTACAACTGTGCTGTAGGCAACATGAGTGTTTCACATTTTTATTTCACGTGTGGATTTATTGTAGGGGAGGACTATTGAAACAGGGCTATAGAAACAGGGCTATAGGGCTGTAGAAAACAGGGCTATAAAAACAGGGCTGTAGAAACAGGCTGTAGAAACAGGGCTGTAGAAACAGAAACAGGGCTGTAGAAACAGAGCTGTAGAAACAGGGCTGTAGAAACAGGGCTGTAGAAACAGGGCTGTAGAAACAGAAACAGGGTTGTAGAAACAGAAACAGGGTTGTAGAAACAGGGCTGTAGAAACAGGGATATAGAAACAGGGCAATAGAAAGAGAGCTATAGAAACAGAGCTATAGAAACAGGGATATAGAAACAGGGCTATAGAAACAGAGCTATAGAAACAGAGCTATAGAAACAGGGATATAGAAACAGGTGGTAGAAACTAGGCTGTACCAGCAGGGCTGTTTTAAGTATATAGGACTGTGTCCGTAGACAGTACTGTTTCCGTACTTTTTCAGTAGACAGTACTGCTTCAGTAGACTGTACTGCTTCATGTAATACTTCACTAGACACTACTGCTTCACTAGACACTACTGCTTCATGTAATACTTCAGTAGACTGTACTGCTTCATGTAATACTTCAGTAGACTGTACTGCTTCAGTAGACTTTACTGCTTCAGTAGACAGTACTGCTTCAGTAGACTTTACTGCTTCAGTAGACTTTACTGCTTCAGTAGACTTTACTGCTTCATGTAATACTTCACTAGACACTACTGCTTCAGTAGACACTACTGCTTCAGTAGACTTTACTGCTTCATGTAATACTTCACTAGACACTACTGCTTCAGTAGACACTACTGCTTCAGTAGACTTTACTGCTTCAGTAGACAGTACTGCTTCATGTAATACTTCACTAGACACTACTGCTTCAGTAGACACTACTGCTTCAGTAGACTTTACTGCTTCATGTAATACTTCACTAGACACTACTGCTTCAGTAGACACTACTGCTTCAGTAGACTTTACTGCTTCAGTAGACAGTACTGCTTCATGTAATACTTCAGTAGACACTACTGCTTCACTAGACAGTACTGCTTCATGTAATACTTCAGTAGACACTACTGCTTCAGTAGACAGTACTGCTTCATGTAATACTTCACTAGACAGTACTGCTTCATGTAATACTTCAGTAGACACTACTGCTTCAGTAGACAGTACTGCTTCATGTAATACTTCAGTAGACAGTACTGCTTCATGTAATACTTCAGTAGACACTACTGCTTCAGTAGACAGTACTGCTTCATGTAATACTTCAGTAGACAGTACTGCTTCATGTAATACTTCAGTAGACACTACTGCTTCAGTAGACACTACTGCTTCATGTAATACTTCAGTAGACAGTACTGCTTCATGTAATACTTCAGTAGACACTACTGCTTCAGTAGACACTACTGCTTCATGTAATACTTCATTAGACAGTACTGCTTCATGTAATACTTCAGTAGACAGTACTGCTTCATGTAATACTTCAGTAGACAGTACTGCTTCAGTAGCAGACATTACTGTAGAGGCAGACATTGCTGCTTTCATGTGTCTTCCTCTCACTATGTCTGCCTCTCAAGGCATGTAGATTTTGAATACCAAAAAAAAAAAAAAAAAAAAAAAACCCACGAATGGCAAGATTTTTTTTTTATGTGGTCAAGTCCAGAACTGCTAACCATTTCCGGTGCCAGAGCCCGGCCCCCCCCCCCCCCCCCCGGGGCACTAAAGCAGCCAGATCTCACCGAACATGGGGTTGAACCGCTTGGTGTGGCAGCCGTCTGTCCCGGGGAGGGAGAATGTGTGCTGATTTCCCCCTTGAGTGATGCTTCCGTAGAAACCTTTCTCCCCCGCCCGCATACATGTAACACGTGACTTGCCTCTGGAAACCAGGCACCTGCGGGAGAAATAGGGGGATGGAGGGGGGGGGGCACATTAGTGGGTCTGTACACGGGTCTGGGGTAATTACATAAGCTACATGCCTTATTCACTAAAACACCCCAAAACTACTTAAAAACACTTGTGTAAAGTAAAGCACACCGACATTGTTGGACTGTTAGGTTTAGTCTTATTGCTAGGTTAGCCAAATACTTGGCCTCGAATATCCACCCCAACCTTACCGGCAATAGTTCCGCAATAGTTCCGCCTCCCCACCCCATGGCCTAGTACACTCCCCTACATGCCTGCTCACCGAGCATACCCCCCCCCCCACCTACCTGTAGTAATCGTCCTGTCCATCACCCTCCATGTCCCCCCACCCCCAATGGTATAGTACACCCCTCCCCACCCACACCTCCCTGCACTAATCGTCACGTCCATCACCGTCCACGTCCCCCCCCCCACCTACCTGCAGTAATCGTCCCGTCCATCACCGTCCACCTACCTGCAGTAATCGTCCCGCCCATCACCGTCCACCTACCTGCAGTAATCGTCCCGCCCATCACCGTCCACCTACCTGCAGTAATCGTCCCGCCCATCACCGTCCATTTCCCTCCCCCCCCCTACCCCCCCCCACCCCCACCTACCTGCAGTAATCGTCCCGCCCATCACCGTCCACCAACCTGCAGTAATCGTCCCGTCCATCACCGTCCACCTACCTGCAGTAATCGTCCCGCCCATCACCGTCCACCTACCTGCAGTAATCGTCCCGCCCATCACCGTCCATTTCCCTCCCCCCCTACCCCCCCCCCACCCCCACCTACCTGCAGTAATCGTCCCGCCCATCACCGTCCACCTACCTGCAGTAATCGTCCCGTCCATCACCGTCCATGTCCCCCACCCCACCCCCATGGTATAGTATCCCCCCCCCCCCACCTACCTGCAGTAATCGTCCCGTCCATCACCGTCCATGTCCCTCATGAACCACGTCCCCGGGTGACCGGCATCGAACCCCAGCTTTGAGACGTAGTGGTGACCTTGACCCGTGCTGCCGGCCAGGTTACAGGACAGGAAGACCCGCCTGCCCTTCCCGACAACCCTGAGCGGAACAAACAACAAGGCAGATTTGTAAACAAAACAAACGTCATACTCTCTAACTTCCGGTTATGGTTTGTGTGTGTTTATTTTTTTCTTTTATTTCCGGCAGTGGAAGTTGTAACAACATAGGGTAAAAGGGGAGGTAACGGCAGTAGAACAAAAGCTGTGGGGGTCAGGTGTGGGGATGGTGGGGGACGGGAACACTACATGTTTGACTGGGCATGACAATAAAGTAGATAAAACGAAATAACTTTGTCGTTTTTGTTTTTTAATGCTTTTTTTGTTTTGATTTTGCCACAGCCTTTAGCCAATAGATTTCTCTGTCTCCAAAGTATGCCCAAAACAAAATAAAGCTGAGTATGAAGATATGGAACGGCGTGGCCGAGCTAGGCTGCTAACCCGGGAGTCTTGAATTCGAATCTGGGTTCATGCCATTAGAGCGTCTCTGAGCCACCCAGCTCTAATGGGTACCTAACTATCGTTAGGGAAAGTAAAGACGGCTGGCCACATTAATTTTCCGCGGGCACGGAAGCAGGTGAACTCTACTTCACTTGCCCCATGTACCGTCAGGTTCGAAAAAGGGAACTTTATTTTTTTACTTCTGGAGATACACATGGGTATTCGCAAAGACTAGTTATTAGTAAAGGCTGGGTATTTATAAAATTCTTCTATATTTACCCAGAAATAATCTGCACAATTCCCTTTATTCCCCCAACCCCATGCATTCCCCAGCAGTTGTTATAGTTCCTCACCTTCACCCCCCCCCCCCTCAACTCACCTGCAGTAGTCATTGGCCGCCCCCGACCCCTGGACGTCCGCCCAGCCCTGGAACATGTTGGGATCCCCCAGGTCCGCTATGTCGTAGCGTCGGGCGGGGATCCTGGAGTCGGACAGGGAGACAACCTCCACGTCGTAGGCCTCGTCGTTACCCAGCTCCACCTCCAGGGGAGCGAACCTCGCCACGTCCTCGCTCGATGGCAGGACTGGAATGGCTTTGATGGACTCTTTCACGTACTGGACCCTGTCTGGACCTGTGGAGGGAGTCATGGGTAAATGGTGGATAAGTCAAGAAAATGTTGGATAAGACAAGAAAATGGTGGATAAAGAAAATGGTGGATAAGACAAGAAAATGTTGGATAAGACAAGAAAATTGTGGGTACAAGACAAGAAAATGGTGGGTACAAGACAAGAAAAATGGTGGATAAGTCAAGAAAATGTTGGATAAGATAAGAAAATGGTGGATAGGATAAGAAAATGGTGGATAAGTCAAGAAAATGGTGGATAAGATAAGAAAATGGTGGATAGGATAAGAAAATGGTGGATAAGTCAAGAAAATGGTGGATAAGATAAGAAAAGGGTGGATAGGATAAGAAAATGGTGGATAAGTCAAGAAAATGGTGGATAAGACAAGAAAATGGTGGATAGGATAAGAAAATGGTGGATAAGAAGAAAATGGTGGATAAGATAAGAAAATAGTGGATAAGACAAGAAAATGGTGGATAAGACAAGAAAATGGTGGATAAGAAGAAAATGGTGGATAAGACAAGAAAATGGTGGATAAGTCAAGAAAATGTTGGATAAGACAAGAGAATAGTGGATAAGATAAGAAAATGGTGGATAAGACAAGAAAATGTTGGATACAAGAAACTAGTCGGTACAAGACTAGAAAATGGATAAGACAAGAAAATGTTGGATAAGACAAGAAAATGGTGGATAAGACAAGAAAATGGTGGATAAGACAAGAAAATGTTGGATACAGAACCAGGTAAGTAAGGAAGTGTTTGATGCAGCGGACTAAAACAATGTTGAACATTAACAAAAAAACATTTTAGATAGAACAAAATTGTTTAAAGAGTGGAAAAGAAGGTTTTTTTTCTTTTTTTCAAAGCAGTACAGAAAAATATGAAAGTATGTCTAACAGTCTCTACTCCATTTGGCAGTTGAAAAAGACGACGAAGAAGATTTTTTTTTAGAGCCAAAGTAGTATGAGGTAGGCCACGCAGAGTTTGTCCTATATTGTGATTTTGGCCAATACTTTCCCCAACACGAATCTAGTCCCCACTAGTACCCACTGTTACCCACTGGTACCCACTAGTACCCACTGGTACCCACTGGTTCCCACTGGTACCCACTGGTACCCACTGGTAGCCACTAGTACCCACTGGTACCCACTAGTACCCACTAGTACCCACTAGTACCCACTTGTACCCACTGGTACCCACTAGTACCCACTAGTACCCACTAGAGCTGTGTGGACAGGGCAGACCTGCGGACTCCGGAAATTGACTTTTTTTTTATTCACTGGTTCAAACTCAAATGTTCTACCCCTCGACCACGATATAACAACATACAGTAAACGAATTTTAAAAACAACACACAACGCTAACGATGTGAACAGAATGAACTTAACCTGTAATAGTTCGTACCATGTTATTCTGGCACATGTGCTACACACTCCCTATTATTTTTAAAACATGTGCGACACACCCTCTATTATTTTAAAACATGTGCGACACACCCCCTATTATTTTAAAACATGTGCGACACACCCTCTATTATTTTAAACATGTGCGACACACCCCTCTATTATTTTAAAACATGTGCGACACACCCACCACATCCCACGGTTTGGAGAAATCCAATCCCCAATTCATCACTTGAACCCCATTGTGTGGGGCTCTTCTGATCAAAGCCATACAAATCTTCCTCGTGTGTTGTTGTTGTGTAACGGATACAGAGGGTTAGTGTTAGATGAGAGATCACTTAGTGCAGGGAGGGTGGGGGAGGAGAGAATATGGGGGGGGGAGTATCAGGAGGATGGTAGGTGGAGGGTGGTGGTTGAAGGTGGCATGCAAAGGGTGTCAAAGTGGTGGCAGTGGGTATCGAAAGAAAGAATGTTGTTAATCAGGAAGGTGGGGGGTGTCTGGCGCATGAAGAATATCAGGAGAGTGTTAGGTGGAGGGTGTTAGGAAAGTGGACAGAGGCGTGTGGAAAGTGGTAAATAGAAATTCGATGGAGGGAGCAAAAGAGTGGTAAGTGGTTGGTGTTTGAATGATGGTAAGCGGATGTTGGCGTGTGGAAGGTGGTATGTGGTGGGTGTTTGTATGGTGGTATGTGGAGGGTGTTAGAAGGGTTTATGTGGAGGGTGGTAAAACGATATTTGGTGGAAGGTGTTCGTATGGTGGTAGTTGGAGGGTGGTAGTTGGAGGGTGGTAAAAGGATATTTGGCGGAAGGTGTTTGTATGGTGGTATGTGGAGGGAGGTAGATGAAGACAGAAGCTGCTGATGTGTAAGCTGACACCGTGTGGATGTGTGCGCGTGAGTACGTCACGTGCCACCCACCACCCAGGAATCTTAAGCTCGCTCATTTTCTTCTCCTCGCCTGTTATCTCACGGTCTATTTCAATTAACTCCCTTGTTCTATCGCTTCTCTCCCCTTGTCGGATTTATCTCCCCTGCGGATCTAGACTGTGGCTTACAGCTATAACTTTGTTATCGGAGATGGAAGATATTTTTGTTCGCCCACTTGAGAGGTTTCACTGCTAGCAGCTTTTTATCATAATGTGTTGGGGGACAAAACTGTGGGTTTACAGTTTTTTTAATTAATAAAGATATTAGAATGACACATAAGGCAGGTATCACCTGCGAAATACATTATATATCTATAAATATATATAACTCTATATATAACTATATATATATATATATATATTTAGCACCAGGAATGGAATTCAGTCCAAAATGGCCAATTTTTAAGCAGGTTGATTCATTTTGTTGAGATATGAGGAACTTTGTTGAGATATATATATATAAATATGTATTCGTGTTGTTTTACAAGCATTCAGATGTTTTAATATATATAAATAATATACATAAATATACACATAATTCTCGATTTTGTTTAGAATCATCACTATAAAATTATTTGGTCATTGTTTTTATGAATGTGATGTCCCCTAGCATCCCTGTTGAGTGGTGCAATATTATTTGTGGCCAATGGCTACTTATATTATAATTGCCAAAGTTTAGAGTTATGATCTTATAGAAAAAGCTACTGAAGATAAATAGGACTCTTAAAGACTTCAAAGTCTATCCCAACTTCTAAAAATATACCCAGTTTACATGAGCCACGGGGGATAACTCCGCGTGACGCTAACTCTGGGAAATGCATCTGCCCGACATTTAAAAACGCTAATCAAGTAAAATCAACTGATTAATCCTTATTGTGTGTTCTGTGAACTCGACAAGAAACAAATTATTCGCTTGATGAGATATCAACTTCTAGTACATCAAATTCTAGAATATCAACTTTAGAACATCAACATCTAGCACATAACACTTCTAGGAGATCAACTTCTGTGAGATCAACTATGAGATCAACTTCTATTAGATCAACTTCTATGAGATCAACTTCTATTAGATCAACTTCTATGAGATCAACTTCTGAGATCAACTTCTATGAGATCAACTTCTGTGAGATCAACTTCATAAGATCAACTTATATTAGATCAACTTCTGAGATCAAGTTCTGTGAGATCAACTTCATAAGATCAACTTCTATGAGATCAACTTCTATTAGATCAACTTCTGAGATAAACTTCTGTGAGATCAACTTCATAAGATCAACTGCATAAGATCAACTTCTGAGGTCAACTTCTATTGGATCAACTTTTATGAGATCAACTTCTATGAGATCAACTTCTATAAGATCAACTGTTGTGCGATGAACTCCATATCTCTACAAAGAGAAACACTTCTATTTGATTCTGTCGATGTCTGGTGTTGGTAAACTGAGAGCCCCATAACACTAGAGAGAGACCGATTCACGAAGGTCAAGGACACCTAAGATTTACCTCCACTAAAATACCAACCATCGCCTTCGGGGAATTCCCGCGGAATATTTTATCTCACCAGCAGACGATGAAAAGTTGTAGCACGTGAGTTAGATATGATTTACATTTTCACTAACAACTCTTTTTTTTATTAGCTCGGTTTCGGGTCGTTGCATGTCTCAAAAATATGTTTTTTTAAGGCTTCGGTCTAACGAGAAATATGAGGGATACTTTGTTGGGATAAACGGGATATCGAAATTACAGGATAGATGTTAGGATATGGTGGGATTACAGTGAAGAATACATGTTAAAAAATCTTAGCTCGTAGACTTTGAGTCCGATTCTTAAACGGATTTCCTTATTATGATTAAGGTATATACTGATTTTAGACGAACTAAAAAATTTAAAACGTCCAGAAAAAAAATGCTAATTTGAGACTAACTAAAAACAAAATGACCCAGAGCCGAATTTAAATTCAAGACAAACTCAATGACTGAGCTTGTGAATAGTAAACTGTGTTTACACTTGCGACATGTATACTGTAGGCCTACATGTCTAGGGAAAAAAACTCACAACAAGTTAATGTTGTATGGAAACTTTTATCCCGCGGAACATGTATACTAACTTTCTGCGCTTTGTTGTTTCTTCTTGACGTGTGTGGTAAACATGTCGCAAGTGTGAACGTGGTAAGATTAATGTTAAACCGTGAAGAAAACTTAAATGCATAGCACATAAAATACATAGGACATAACGAGTATGAGATGACGTCGGTGATAATTTTGTATATGAATTAGCTACCTACTTTTTCAACTGAGAAAATATCCTTTTGATTATCCTTTTATCTCCGCGGTAAGTGAATTTGTGATAATAAAATTACTATACTAAATATAGATCATAACCATTAGGCCTACTTTTTTTTTAGGTGAAGTAGAGCGTGCCTCACGTGCCTGTTTCTACATCTACTGTGTATGATGCTTGTGGGGTTGGGTTCATGATTTCTAGTCAGATTTCAACCCCGAGACCGTCGGGTTCAACAACCTTAACCCCCCCCCCCCCTCCCTACTTTACAACTACTTACCGTGTTAGAACCCTTCACTGAGTACGCATTCCATAACACGCCATGTTGATACGCATAGAGAAAAAAATTTCCTAAACCGACTTTTTATTTTTATTTTTTTTATTTTTACATTTCTCACATGCTTGTTAAAAAACTGT